TGGTGCCCAGCCTGGTGCTATGTACGTACCTAAAGAATCCCAGAATGGTTTTTGTTGGAAGGAACCAAAGCCCATTCAGTTCCAAGCCCCTGCCCTGGCCAGGAACTCCCTTCTCCAGGAGCTCCAACACTGCAGTGCTGCTGCAGCTTTGGCAAGCCCCTCATCATTAAAAAGAGGTTTGGAGACTTGATCCAAGCCCAGAGTAGGCGCTGTCTAGGAACAGAGCAGCTCCCAGCCTGGCTGTTCTCCTGCCAAACAGGAGGCTCCCTGGCTGGGCAGGAGCAGCAGCCAAGCTGGCAACAAAAAAAATCCTCCTGCAAGACACTGAACCAACGTGGACCTGCCTCTGCTGGTCCCCCAGAAAGGCCCAGGAGTGAGAGCTAAAATCCAGCTCCCAGAAATGTACTGAGAACGTTGGCTTTGCTTTCTTCCTCCTACACACAGCGCTCTCATTAAGCACTGCATGGAGCTGGTGTCCATAGTGCTGGGAGGAGAGGAGCAAACTTTCAGCTGCAACGTGGGAATCCTGGTTCTTACAGAGCCATTAACAAAGCCTCCACTTATTTCCAAGAGAGAAAAAAGTATTATTGTTCTCACGAGTCTGCCCATGAGAAGAAAAAAAAAATTAGATTTGTCTGGTGGTAGAAGCAAGCAGAGTTCACACTAGAAATAAGAGAAAACACACCCAGAGGGTAATTAATGAAGATTATCAAAGGATGGGAAGGCTAAAAGGATTGGAATCAGTAATAGCTGGCTTTGTAAAACCACTAATTCACCCTACCACTGAATACCAATGCAAGGCATAACATTGCTAAAAATATTAATAATTACTAGAGTTTAAGCTACAACAATAAAGTCCAAAGTTTGCTTCCTACAGCTGTTTTCAAGTTTGCATAAAGTGCTTACTGGAATAAACCCAGTAACCTATTCCTAAAAAGGCTTCATTTGTGCATGAAGGGGTTTTTTTTAAGTATTTCAGATTTTTTAAATGTCTATTGCTGCTTCTTACATGCAGTCAGAGGACAGATATCTTTAATACAATGATAAAATAATGCTGTAATAAATTTTTTTCTACCCAAAACCAGTTAAAGAAATGTTTGCACTAGTAAATTGTATAAGCTTTTGAGGATGAAGAAATGCAGGCAGTTATACTACAGATATTTTGCATGTTTTAGCACAGGTACCAGTTCTGCAGCAAAATGATGACATTTCTTCATATACCATCTCCAGTTTTTATCTGCAAATTAAACCTTGAATCTTGCCCTTTTGCTTTTATTTTTTAAATGAATAATTCACCAGGTTTATCTAGTTTACATATTAACTGGAATGTAAATAAGCAGTTATGCTATTCCAAAGACAATAACATTTCAATTTCTCTAGAAAAATAAGAGATTTTATGGCACAATAATGCAAACTGCAATGCCTCATTTAGAGAACAAATGCATTGTTCTGGTAAAATATTGCAGAATTAACTTGGCTTTCTGAGTATTGACAGTCTAACATTATTGTTTGTGTGACAGGGAAAATCCCCACGAGCCACATCAGGCAACACCTGCAGAACAGCTGCACACTCATGGGGACAACAAGAACAAAGAGTTAGTAATCCACTGGGGGTTAATTTTAAGAGACATTCTATATCCTACCACACTAAAACCCTCCACTAAACTCTATTCTGAGGTAAAACAGGCCTTCCTGTTTAATGGATTTTTTTACTCAAAAATGGTTAGACTTGTTTATGTCACCAAAGCAAATCTCCAACACAACCCCACCTTAAGTCATGTCTCAAGGCAGAATTCACTGAATTTTTCCAAACTTGAACAGTTATAGTCTAGAAATCCAGTCACTAATGAGTTATTAAGGACCTGCAAAGGAATTAGTGATGGTTGTAATTTTTAAACCCCTTTCTAATGGAGACTGCAGTGTTTAGCACTTGGCCTAATATGTTGCTTTACTTTTATCTATCTTTTTAATCAGGCTGATATCAAGATTCAAGAAAACATCAACTAAAATAGTGAAAAATAACACATAGAGCAAGCTGTAAAATGTCAGCTATAACAACCAAATCATAACCATCCCTGTTTTCTGACTGTTCATCAAAGGTAAGGGAAAAAAAATCACATTGCATTGGCATCCCTTAAATTGCTTATGAAAATTCAGATCTATTGACAGCTCCCCATACCTCACTCCTTCAGGTCTAAAACTACTCCTGCACTTTTCCAGTACATTTGCCCTGTGCTCTATCCAGGAAAGCCACTACACACTTTACAATTTTCATCACAAAAACCACGACTGGGTTTGAAGCAAGGAGGAGACAAACCACACACTGTCAGAAATTTCCATGGAGACTCTGTGAGCACTGTTTCCAAGGGCAAGTGTAATGTTCATCTCTGAAGTCTCATGTTAAATTTAGTTGTACAGGTTGGACAAATCAGGAGCTGCACATTTGATAAAAACTCAGTCATATGATACAATGCCAGCTGTTCCAGGTAATCCCTACTCCATTTATCTGCTGAAGCAAAACAGAACCTTTTCTTGCTTTTTTGTATCAATCTTTTATTTGTTCTGCTCCACATATATCAACCCCAAATATGAATTATTATAGTGCCTCATAGCTGATACTGAAGTTTTCCCTCCTCCAGAAGATTCCAGACCATAACTGTACACAAAGAAATGATGGCCTGTCCACCTGCCCTCGTGCTCTGCAAAGAAAGGATCTATCTCCCTGTCAAACCTGTCTTTCCATAGTGAGGTTCCCCTCATCTCCATGACCCTGAACCACCAAACCTCCTGAAGCAAGAATGAAGCATCTGCCCTGCCTCTCATTTTGCCCCCTGCCAAACTGAGCTCTCCCCTCCCTCACACCCAGCGCCTGCCACGAGTGTTAAAAATAGCACTAATTAGGATCCTGGTTGCCCATTAACTCTTTTATTATTCATGTGACATTTATGATAAATGCCTGATATTACTTACAAATGGTTGAGGTGGCACTTACACACAGCAGCATAAACTTCAGGGTCATGGGAGAAATCATTTAGCAGCAAGGCAGGCTGACTACACCAGGGCATACAACCACTTGCTGGCGTGTAAATTTAAATCTTTTAGTTCAACACAAAAGACAAAGTAGCCTGGCATTCCTGAAGTGCAGGTGGGCTTCTATTTCAACAGTCTTTTGCATCACTGTAAATACCTCTAAAGATGGCTTTCTACATCCAGCCAGGGCTGTGCACTGCATGTTGGCCACAAAACAGAAAAAAAAGTCCTGCCTTTCTCCAACAGAAAAGTGTCCTGCAACAGCCAAGTTGTCATTTCTCAGGATTATCACATCCTCTTAATTAAGTTGCAAAATTCAGAATGGAATAACCCCGATGAACATAAATTACACAGAAATGGATTTGATTTGCATGTAATAATGGCTTCTTTCAGAATTAATTACAAATATGCTGGAGTATGGATTAACGTCCTCCTGATTCAGCACTGTATGTGCATGTTTACCTGCTCTTCTAAGCTAAGGCTAGGAGTAAATTGTCTAGACAATTAATTATAATTCTTCTCTCATTTGCCAAAAAAACAGTAAAGCTTTGTGCAGAATCAGCTACCCAGCCTTCTTCCACCCCTTCAGAGATCTTTAAAAAATCCATGAGCATATTTGTCATTCCATAATGAATTAAATTGCACATTGTTCACCATCAATTCTATCTGTGCAATCTGCCAGTACAGACTCTTCATACTTCCCTTGGATTAAAAGCCCAACAAGAAATCCACCTCTAAAAACACAGCCTTGTTTCAAACCCCACCTAAGAGGGACAGGGAGAGCTTTGGCAGGATCCTTGCCCAGAGATCGCAGCAGTTCCATTTGTAAGCTGGTCTGTAACACTGAACGCTGCTCCTTAAGTAAACAAACAGCCAGGGAAATGTGCTTGAAGACAGAGATAAAAATGCATATCTATTTACTTTAGAAGCCTGCAAAGCCTGTTCTTTCACGGCTACAGCGTGAGGAAGTGGTGCAACTATTTAAATTCAATCACCATGGGAGTTCAAGGCACGCTCCAAAAAAAGCTGCTTGTTGTACCCTCTCCTGCATGCAAAAGCCAGCTCTGCAGAAACAAACATTGTAACACCAAAAGTATTTTACCAAACCATACATGGGCCTGAAGATCAAGACATCAAATAATGTAAAATCAATAGATCTTACAGACAGGGTTTGACCAATCCATCCCAAAAGACCTATTTTCAGTACCCAATTTCAGAGAAGCACAGCATCCCTTTGTTGGTCACGAAGAGGTTGTGGGGGGAAGAGGAAGAAAAATCCCAAATCATGATTTTGCTGTAAACTGGCCGGCAACACTCAAAAGGTGAACCAACTTTTTAAACAAAACCTAAAATGCCAACAAAAAAATCCTCCAAAATATCAAACATATTTTTGGCACGAATGAACAATTCAAATATACCCTTTTTATAAAGTAATTTATACTGCAATAACATTCATTGCCTTTTTTTTTTTTTGTATTTCAGTGTAGTGTTGGGAAAATTCAATTTCAAGCCAAAGTAATTTGCTTTATTCTCCATGGTTACTAAACGCCACTGGACCATGGATATTTCTGAGCGCAGAAATAGTTGCATAAAATGTCATTAATTTTGGTTACTCCCCAAAAATATTTAGAAGAAACCACAACTGATAGCCCACAGTAAATATTGAAATTCATCTAAATTTCAATAACTGGAAGAAGAGTAGAACCTCCCAGATATCTCTGAGAGTGTATTCCCAAAGGACAAAAAGAGCAACCAGAAAATTCCCAGTCAGCCTGACCATTGTTCTCTGTCACTGCTTTCCTGAACGCTGCATGAAGTTTTAAATGGATCAAGTGAAGCACATCACCGGTGTTAGCCCACAGGACTTGCTGCTCAGAGGCATCCCACACTTTTTCCAGAGTCAATTCTCCACCAGGAACATCACTCTTTCCCCAACAGAGCACTGAGAATCAAATTTCAGGATCTCCTACCTCGATCAAAAAGTCTCCAGTTCTCAGGCCAGCTTGCCATGCTACTCCCCCTTCATCCACAGATTCCAAGTACTGCAAAGCAGGAAAGGCTGGAGTTGGGGTGAATTCTTCAATTGGTGTGTCAGCTTTAAAAATAAATACCACATTAAAAAAAGAAAGTTATGGAGTGCTTGCAAATACCACTTGACTACAGGCCTATCATTGGCCATTCCAATTTAGGGTTAAAAAATGGTGGGTGCTGGAAGTGAGAGGGATGTGCCTCATGGGAGATCAGGATGCTGGGGACAGAGTGCAACCCCCTGGAATAGCAATCCACAGGTCTTCCTTCCAGAGGGGGAAATACCTGCTCCTTTCCTTTGCACAAACCAAATCAAGTTGCACCAGGCAATAGCTGGGTTGTGATATTCCAGGATATTCAGTATTGGCTCAAGTAACCCCTTTGTGTGCCTGGCAGAATGCTGTAACTCTGGCAACATCCACCTAAAAATGAATTATGTGCTGGAGCCAGGAGAGAGCATCTGGCCAAACTAGGGGGATGGGATGGGTGGCAAAGCATGAAAAAAAAAAAAAAAAAAAAACCAGATTTTTTTTCCCCTCCTAAATTTAGATGTGCATAACAAGGAAGAGACCACATTTTAGGAGAGGAGGCACAGCTGACCCTGTGACAGCCCTGCCTGCCCCTCTGTGTCACGTACACACGCAGGCAGAAAAGTCCTTGGGTCTTTCACCTGAGCTGCCCCCGCTGCTACAGAGAAAATCTGGGGAAAACCACTGGGCTCAGCCAGAGGGAGTGAGCCCTGCTCAGAGCACTGATAACCCACACCAACACTCAGAGATAAGGCAGTGCCTTGGGCTTCCCTTCTTCAACTCCAGACATTTCATTTGGCTAAAAAACTGGCAAATCTTTCCCAGCCCTGCAAATCCACAGTGACACCGGTCTAGGTTTAGGGGTGGGGAACAGGGAAAGCAAAAGCCATGTCCCAAGAATGAAGACATGGAATAATTTTCATGCTCAAGCAAGGCAAGGGAGAACCCATGTGAAATGAGGGGGAGCAAGAGATGGGACATACCATCACATACATATATTCTTTTTTAAAATACAAAGGGAGCAAACTGCACTGCAAGCTAAAAAGCAAAGCATTAAATAGAATGCCTTTTTTAACTGGCACAAATGCCACTGTGATGGATTTTAGCCTACAGAGAAGTGCCGTGCAGCTTAACATATGAACAGCTTTAAAAATGAGCACACTACAGGCCATGCAACATACGTGCAGCTTCTCAAGATATAAAAAAAGATCATATTTTCATACTAAAACTGCACCAATGTCACCTTGCAGAAGATCCACACCTATTTTAAACAAAACATGCCTCTCTTGTCTATTCCTATTCACAGCCCTATTCAATCAGGCTGGTGTTTGAAATAAAGCAGCAGTTTTTATGAGGAAAGCAGGTTTCCCCACAGTTAAGTAAACTGCACAGCAGAACAGATTAATGGCAAAATACTACATCCACCGGCATGAGAAAAATACAGGCAAAACTTTCTCCCCCCAAAACGATTATGCAGTGCTTCTCCCATGTAAAAATGCAAACTGCTTCAGAGAGAAGGCACTGAAATCCATCGGAGTAGTATAGCATACAGAGAATCCTGTTGTCTAGCAACCAAGTGCACCAAGAATAATTCCTGCTTATATTCTGAGATGTATAAATTTCTTCATGCCACTGCACATCACACACACACACACTCACACACACACAGAAGCACATACCTTTTGCCCCTCTGAGCACAAATCCAAATCCTTCATTGTCTTTTTTCTGCAGGACCACTGCCTTTTCTTCTATTATGCAGTCACTGTAGAGAGAATTCCGAGGATAGCGACCATTATTACATCCCTTCATCACCACTGTAGTAGCTGCTCCTCCAGTGTGCAGGTTCATCATCATCACAGCCCGTTAATCAAATAATATTGCAGTAACCAAGCATGGGAAAATATAGAACAAATAGCAGCGAGGGGAAGACAAAGACTAAGCTGGATGGTAAAAGAGAACATGACAAAGCAACTTAAAATGAATAAAAAAGGCAGAGAGGAAAAAGAAAGAAGAAGAAATCATGCATGGTGGTTTGTGTTCTATATGAATGACTAGATGAACATGTGATCATGTAATCTGTGGGCTAGCTAGGACTCTAAAAGGAAAAAAAGTAAGTGAACTGAACGACAGTATCATTAATAAACTCCTCAATCGTGGATGTACCAGATGCATCTTCTAGTGAAGCCAAAATGAAACCAACCAGAAGAAAAATGAGGCAGCATTTTAAATTTAAAGATAATAAATTATGATTTTCTATTAGCTAACTAAAAGGCACAAATATATTCTGAAAGCTATGCCTTGCATCAAAAGCCCTTTTTCAATCCTATTGAATGTTGCATGCTGCAAGAATCCCACATGATCATCTGACAGCCTACAATGCTAACAACGTGCAGCTGCCTTGGCGTCATCAAGCACAAATTTCCACAGCATCAAGAATCTGCATAATTGAAATAGTAACAAGGCATGCACAAGCAGGAAAACACATTTTCTAAGGAATATTTCCTGTCTCCTGATAAACAATTAATATTATAAAACAAGGAGATGGTATAAAGGGCTATTTATGTAAGCAGTATTCCCTTAAAGAGAAAGTAGCCTTAGGAATCTCACTGTCATTGGCTAAGATAAAAGTAGAAGGTAGATGAAGAAAATGCATAAAATGCACATTAAAATGGGACCTTTCAGATACAGGGAACGATCCGTAAAAGCCTTAAGGTGTTCAATATCTTTCATTAAACATGTAGTTACTAAAAATAAGCTCAAAGCAAAAAAGAAAAAAAAGGAAAAATTTTCAATGCTCTTTTAGGTAGAATTGTACAGCATGAGTTGCAGGGGTTAAGTTCATGAATTGTCAGCACTGCAAACTATGCTGCTTTAATATACCTACAGAACTAGTTCAGATAGAAAGGAGTAAGACCAAGTTTGCTTTCCTTAATTTTTTACTAGCCAACTTCTGTTCCCACTGGTCTGGTACAGAATCCAGTCCCCAGAGCAGTAAATGCAAGGAGAGAATGGATCTGCCTCAGGGCCATTAATAATCCCCAGGGGGAGGAGGAAACTAAATAAAGAGAAATTGTTGTGACCTTTTTATTTAAAGCTCTGAACAAAGAGAGGGATGATGATATCAGGACACCAATGGACAGCCTCCAAACTCCAGATTTTTCATGCATCACAGACCATCCTTTTGGTGCCTTTCCAACTCTGCAGGATGAAACTTCCCATGGCTGCTGAAGCAATGATGCAAGGTAGCCTTCCAAACTGCAGAGTGTTTAACACTACACATGAACTCAAGCTGCCACAGCGGTGACTTTGTGGGCAAGAGATGGTTTCCATCAGCACCCACAGCTTTTGTATTCTCATCTTATTGTAATTTACTGTGTCTTTCAGACATTTCCTGTTCTTACAGTTAAAAAACTTCTGCTTCTTGAGAAAGCCCAACACCTGGCTCAGGGATATCAGGATGGGATGGAATATGCAGCTCTTGGAGCCCACTGAAGCTCTCCATCAACATCCTGATGTTCTAGAAACTGGCTGCTCCTGCCAGTGCATTGGCTGATTTGCCTCATTTCACCACCACGTTCTCAAGGTGGGACCCTGTACTTATCCACTGAAGAGTCAACAGTGTTACGTTTTTAATACTTGGTCAAATTAATAAAACCCATTCCCTTCAAGTTTCCTTGTAATTAATCAATAGCTTAATAGAGCTTAGAAGGCAACTTCTGAGATGCTAATTATAGCAAGAGTTTGGTTCAAAGAACCCCCTCGTGTCCCCTCCCTAAATCCCACTCTTGTGTCAGTTCATTTCCATACAGAATTCAGAAGTTTATCAGCTCAGCAAACTCAGGATCAAATCTCCTGGCCTACATCCAAAAAAACAAATAGGTATCCAGGGTCCTTCTAGGGCCAGCTAATGAAATGGATGGGCATTGTCAAGTCAGGCTCACTTCATCCTAATGTACAGATACCCTTAAGGTACAAAAACCACCTGATTTTCTTCTCATGTACAGTGCATCCATTCCATAAAGTACCCAGTTTTATACTTCAGTTCATGTACTCAAAGTGGGGATGCAAAATTGCCAACATTTTACAAAATTACATGCAAGGGGGAGGTGAGAGGGAAGGGAGGGAGAAGCACAACATGGTTCTTGGTGAGAAAACACACAAACTGATCTTTATTATTTGACAAATACAACTTTCTAATATAGAGTTGCAGTCATAAAGAGAACATCATCACAGCCTGGAAAGTAAAAGGATGGGCTTGAAAAAAATCAGATGTGTAGCATTTCTTCTCATTTATGTTTCCTAGAAGTAGGGAACCTGCAAAAATCCTATGCCTTGAGTAGCTTAAACTTATTCAAGCAACCACAGAAAGCAAATTGATTCTCCCCACACACCTCAGTGCTGCAGAGCAAAGAACCAGCAGCAGGAAAAAGGGGGAAGACAAAAAAGCACACAAAAAAATGAACTGAATTTACAACCTGCACACCCTTTCTCCCAGAAAATTTGCATTCCCAAGAAAAGGAAGCAGAAGAGGGGCAGGGTTTAACCTCTGACTCTTTGCAGTGCTGCTTTTTTGCTGGCTTTGCCACGCCAGGGCTCTCTGTGCCAGCCAGGGTGGACTCTCCACTGAAGGTCTGCTCACAGTCCACCTGCTCCTGGCAGGAAAAGTGGTGCCAAATGTAAAACTAGGTCAAAATTTCTCCCCATGAGCCTTCTTGGCAGCGTCTCTTTGATCCTGGAGGTGTTGTAAATACTCAGCAGCAGAACACAGGGTACAGCAACCAGTGACAAATGAAGGTGGCATTACATTAGGAGCTGCTCAGAGGCCTGAGCTCAAGCAAGAGGAATTTCTTCCCAGACTCTTTCGGTAAAATGCACAGTTCTGTGTGAGGCTAGGCAGTCCCTGTTATCTGTGATATGCCAAATTTCAATAAGTAAAATCCCTGAAGTCCATTTCTGTCCCATCCCAAACAAAATTCAAAAGCTTCCATTTCAGAGATGAGTCCTCGGAATATGACCAGTTCCATATGAGGGTAATAAAATGAGTAATTCTAAAATCAATAGCTCATTATTTAAATAGGGCAAACGCTGCTTTGACTTTGGGCTGTGTGAGGCCAAGATTCATTGCAGGCAAAGTTAAATGCAAAAGGCATCCTACCAAGTGCAGGACATTTCTGTGTGGAGCACAATCATAAAACTTCAGGTCAAAATAACAGTCAATGTAAATCTCTGCTTTACTCAAGCAGTAGACATTAGAAAACATGCTTATTCATCAGCTCATGTAGTTTCCTTAACAACCTAAGGCTCAAGAAGTGTGCAGAGGTGTACAAATTTCCATAGTTTTACAGACTGACCAATGGAGAAAGGGAAATAGAAGGATTTGCCCGTGGTCACACAGATATGTGAGTTTTGAACTCAGCACTGTTCCACATAACAACCATCATTTGTGTGGGCTTTTCTAAACAGCAGGAATTTCTGCTTTGCGAACAGCCCATTAGGATAATATCTGAGGAAGAAGGAGAAATGTCAAGTCTTTCATAAAGACCTGTATGAAGAAAATAAAGGTTGGAGTGCAGGTTCCTGCTGGAGGCAGGCCCACAAAACCTGGCTTCCTGTTCTCATCAGGGATAACTACACCCTATCTTAAGGCATGACTTATTCCACAAGCTAAAATACTAAATTACAGAGGTGGAGGCTATCAGGACTACAGGATGTGTTTAGGCAAGTTTGTATCAAGTGTTTCATTGCTGATTTCAATCTGAAAAACAGCAAGTAGAAGACAATCCATTGAAAATTATCACCACTATCGGGAAACAAAAGTGGCTATTTGGTATATTGTCAGTCTCCCTCTAAGGAGAGGAAAAAAATGAATGTAAAAAGGAATTATTTCCCTGATTCCCTGGAAACATAACCCAACCTTTTTAGCTTAAGCAGCCCACAAGCCCTTCAGTAAGGACTTGCTCTCTGCTTGAGTGAGAAGTGGACCTTGCTCTCTCCAGGTTCACTTCTTTCAGCTGGCCAAGTGAATCTAAACCTCTTAATTAGCCCTTTTTCTTCTCCTCAGCACTCTTGCAATTGCCATCTCTTTGAAAGATCTACTGAGTTCACAACTAGATACATCCTAGAAGAATAAAGTGTTCTGCCAGGTGCAATAAAATGATATCTAAATCATTCCATAAATTTATATGCAATGTCTGGAAGCAGTCACACTAATTCCTTCCAGGATAAGATGGCCAATTTATGGTGGTTATGCTGAAGCCAGAGAAGGGCATTTGGGAAATCTGTTCAACAGGAGGAGTCCTTTGTGCATTATCCAACAGTCAATGCCTGTCAAAGGCACATCAAAAACATTCTTTCCCTTTTTTTGGGAAGTAACCTGTCCTGATACTACATAAAATGGAAATTATGTCTACAGCAAACCTTATTGTAGGATATAGCAACCTTTCAGTAGGAAAACATTTCCTGTTACTGCTGGAAGGGGTCAACCTTACAATTTATAGTCAACTACTCTAATGGCTTCAGGAAAATTGGCTGATCTTACTAATTAAGGCCTTCAAGATTAATGATGACACTTTCTGTGATTGCTCAAGTTTCCCAGGCATCAATCATCCACTTTTAGGTCTCACAGAAGAGCTCCCACAGCTCTCCTGTGTCAGGCAGAGTAGCAATCATCACTTGCTCAAGAGGCAGCAGCTCCAGCAGCGAGTGGGTTCTGTGCACAGCAGACAGGGAAATACACAGCCTGTCCCTAAAAACCCAGTGGCA